AACTGAGTTTATTTGTATTGAAAATCACCATGCAATGCAACCAGAGGAAGGATGGTTGCCTGTACTAAACTATGAAAAGCGGTGACTTTTTGTCAAGACTAGAGTATAAAGTTCATCAGCAAATGTACCTTAGAAGTAAAATTATCAGGGAGATCATTAACATATATGAGAAATAATACAGGAATAATGGAGAATTGTAGCACTTAAAAATTACTTAAAAATAAACAAGAATGCTGCTCATCAAAGAGTCTTTGAGTAACCCAAAGACCTTGCTAAAGCAAGATTTAGTTAAGCATAAGATTCAATATCATTAAATTCAAGAGATGAATTACAGGAAAAGTTTAGGAAAGGTAATAAGATCAGATCCATGTATAAAAGATAGAATGACTTGCATGGGATTCCTTTCGTGATTTTCTTCGTGATGGTCCTTGGGCTGATGTTTTTTCTCTCTCAGCTGACAAATGCGCCTCCTACGTAACCTCCTGGATTCAGGCTGGAATGGAAGCTTTTATTCCTTCTCGTCGGTTTCAAGTCAAGCCTCATTCTACTCCATGGTTTTCTCCTTCTTGTGCGGCTGCTATATCCAATCGTAATCATTTTTTTCATCTTTTTCAAAAGAACAACTCTCTTGAAAACAAACAGCTATTTATTATTGCAAGAAATCGATGTAAAAAGGTGCTTTCTGATGCTAAACTCCATTATTCTCAGTTCACTAAATCTCGCATCTTATCGCAGAAGTTAGGCTCTAAAGACTTTTGGAAAATCTTCAACAGCATTGTTAACAAGGGTAGATCTAACATTCCATCTCTCATTCATGGGACTGATCTTGTTACCTCTCCCAGGGATAAGGCAGAACTATTTGCAAAGAACTTTTCTTCTAATTCCACTCTTGAATCTTATGGACATTCTCTTCCTTCCATTCCAGTCAAACAGGTTGACCCATTGTTAGACATTCAAATTACTCCGGCTTCTGTTGCTAAAGTCATATCTCAATTAAACTTGTCTACAGCTTGTGGTCCAGACAACATTCCTGTCACAGTCTTGCAGAATTGTTCTCCAGAACTTTCTTCAATTCTCTCTAAACTATTTAACAAGTGTTTGACTGAGTCTTGTATTCCTGCTTGTTGGAAAATGGCATCTGTGGTTCCAATATTCAAAAACTCTGGAGAAAATTCTGACCCCTCCAATTACCGTCCGATCAGTCTTCTTTCTGTTATTAGCAAGGTCTTTGAGTCTTTGATCAACAAATTCCTCACATCTCATCTTGAGTCAAATAAACTGCTGTCAGACAATCAATACGGTTTTCGATCCTCTCGCTCTACGGCCGACTTGCTAACTGCTGTAACTGAAAGATTTTATCGTGCATTAGATGGAGGCGGTGAGGCTAGGGCTATCGCTCTCGACATATCTAAAGCTTTCGACAAAGTTTGGCATGCTGGTCTTCTCCATAAGCTGGTGTTCATATGGTGTTTCTAAGAAAGTTTTTGAGATTATCAAATCATTTCTTTCTAACCGGTTTATTAAAGTCATCCTTGAAGGCCAACACTCTTCTTTATTTCCAGTAATTTCTGGGGTTCCCCAAGGTTCCATCCTGGGCCCTGTTTTGTTTTTTATCTACATAAACGATCTTCCTGACAACCTTTCATCTAAAGTAGCTCTTTTTGCTGATGACTCAACTTTATACTCCTGTCTTGACAAAAAGTCTTCTCTTTTCGATCGCCTAAAACAAGCAGCTGATCTTGAATCTGATCTCACTTCAGTAATAGATTGGGGTTCACAGTGGCTTGTGAATTTCAACTCTAAAAAAACCCAATTGCTTACTGCAAACAACTACCGTAATATGGTCAACATTCCTATATTAATGAATGGCAATCCTCTTACTGAGTCGTCCTTGTTACCTCTTCTTGGATTATCGCTTACTACTGACCTTTCATGGAAACCATATATACAATCGATTGCTAAATTAGCTTCTGCTAAGGTTGCTTCTCTTTATCGTGCTCGCCATTTCCTTACTTCTGATTCCATTCTCTACCTCTACAAATCTCTTATTCGTCCCTGTATGGAATACTGTTGTCATATTTGGGCTGGTTCTTCTAACGATTCACTTTCTCTTCTTGACAAGGTCCAAAAACGCATTGTAAATGTTGTTGGACCTGGACTATCTGCTAAGCTTGAACCTCTTTCCCATCGTCGCAAAGTTGCATCTCTTTCTCTTTTCTACAGATACTATCATGGTCACTGCTCAAAGGAGTTATCATCTCTAGTTCCATCAACTAAAATTCATTCTCGTTTTACTCGTCATTCAGCTAAGTCTCATTCGTTTACTGTATCTGTCCCTGCATGCTCTAAAAACTTTTATTCATCTAGTTTTTTTCCCCGCACTTCAATCCTTTGGAACTCTCTCCCATCTTCATGTTTTCCGGACTCATACAACCTTCAACTTTTCAAGTCTTCTGTCAACCGGTTCCTTGCTCTATAACTCTGTTCTTTTTTTTCCTAGTAACTCCCAACTTAATAGTGGTTGCTTGCAGCCTTGTTGGGAGTGAATGCAAATAAAAAAAAAAAAAAAAAAATTTGTTAAAGATTTTAAGAGACTGTTGAACATTTTTAGAAAATCTGTAGAACTTTTGAGATAACATACAAGATTTAAGAACCTGAAAATAGTGGATCTTAGGGTTGTAGGCAACAACTTTATGACACCAGCCTATAGGAGGAACGCATGCAAGACTGGTGGGTAAAAGTTTCCCACTCACTGCTACAATTTTGTTTATTTCTTAAATTTGTAATAAAATTTTTGCAAGTACCAATTATAATTAGTTAGTAAGCATTAAACTAAAAATTTAAAAATTTTTTTTCAATGTTAATTTACCTTCCCAAGGCTGAAAAGACTGCTACAGTCAAAGACCTTTCTCGGGTATAATTTTTTAAAAGCAATATAAAGAAACAACCTTAAAACAACATTGACCTTAAGTAATGTAGATTCAAATTTTTTTTTTTTTGGTTTTCAGATTTCATTAGTACAAATTTTATTTGTGGAATCGAAGAAGTTGAAATCCAGACATTCATTTGGAAATTACTCATATCACTTAGGTAGATTTATAAAAGTTTTTGGGGTACAATGTGGTTACAACATAACTAGATTAATGCATTTTATTTTTTTATTTAAAAAAACAGATTCAAGATATAAAAATAGAATATTCTGCCTTTTTTTTATATATATATATATAATTATATGTTAAAAAATTTTTTTAATTTAAAAAAAATAATAATTAATGCTTTGCTGGCTGGCATTAATTAATATTTTTTTATTTATATTTATTAGTTGCCAATGATGGACATGTGTAAAGATATAGATACATTCTATGTAAATGCAATAGATACATTCACGTAAATTTCATTCAAATTATTTGCATACAAATATTTTAAGGCATTTTCAGGATTCAAATTTTCAGTTAAATGAAAAAAAATGTTAATTCAAAACTTAGTTCCCAGCCAGAAATATCATTTTTTTTTTCCTTTGTCCACTAGTTTACTAATTTTAAAATATCTGTTGTAACTATTTCTTTGTCCACTAGTTTATTATTTAAAATATCTGTTGTAACTATTGAGAGCTTTTTGACATTGAATAAAAAGCTAAATAAAAAAATTAAATAAAAATAAAAAGTGCAAAAGATCAAAAATTCAAAACTTTTTTTACGTTTAAAAAAGAAGCAAGTTCTTGTGCAATATATATAACAGAGTCAAAGTTTTTCTGTTTGTAATTTTCTTTAAAAAAAAAACATCATTCTTTCCATTAACTTTAAAGCCTCTGAAATATTCATTGAACTTGATTGCAGTTGCTTGCTTGTTAAATTAATTTAGAATAAAACTTTATGCCAAATTACGTTTGAACACAAAAAATCAAAGTTCGTTATTTTTAAAGCAATCAATTCTGCTGTGATTTTTGCAGTTATTTTATTAGCATTCTTAGCCGCATATTGCAGTGCTTTATAAATTTTTGGCATTTTAAACCAAAGTATTTTTACAGCATTCTTATTTTCCCATCTTATTAGTTAATGGATTAACAGTTAAACACTTTAATTTCAAAATTGCTTTAACAGATGGACACTTTGATAGCAAAATTATCTTTTTGTTAAAACAAAAAAAAAAAAATTTTTACTGTGATCAATAAAATTGAAAAACATAGCAATTTTAGGTAAAAATCTGACAGAATCAACAACTAATAGATTTAATATATGAATACAGCATGGAATATAAAATGCTCAAATATCTTTTTTTACAAATAAAAGGCTGTACACCATTTCTTATGCCTTTCATATTTGCGCCATTGTCATAGCTCTGACCACTTATGTTTTTAACTGACGAATTATTTTTTTTATAAAGAGTCAATAATCACATTTGATAATTCAATTATTTTGAAACTTTAATAAAGTGAAATGCAAGAAAATTTAACTAATCTAAAATTTACACTTATCCTCTACATCTATTATCTTCATCTATTCTATACACCTATCAATTTCATTTCGATTCAATTTTTTTATTATTATTATTCATATTGATTCATTTTTGCATAAATAAAAACAATACTTCTAAACAACATCAATGATTGGTTAGCAGAAAAAAGCACATGCATGATTAGTTCCTAATTAATTAAAACATTTTTAAAATTGTACATTAACATACACTAAATAAATCTAAGAAAATTTTTTTAGAGCCATTATAGTTTTTATTATAAATTATTCTTATATAGTATAAGGGTATAAACTTATTCTCAAATAATATAAGTGTATCAATTTTTAAATAAATATTCTTATAAATTTATATACTTTTGTATTCTCAAGAAAAAAAGTAAGTATTCAAGAAAAAATTTACGCCTTTAAAGTTTTGGTACCTGAGTGAATAATATCCATTTTTGCTGGGCCTGCATATATGTACAAATATACATAAATAAATACAACATAAAACTTTAAAAAATATTAATGTATAACATATGAATATACTTGTTACACGATACTTTACTGGTATTATTCTCCTCCTACCCGGAGTGGTCATTGCTCCATTTTAAATTTCATTTTTTAAACCTAGTAAAAAATTAATTTATTTATAAGGAAATCATAATAATAATAAATTTTAAAATTTTAAAACTTAATATGAAAAAAATTAAAATAAGATATATATATATATGTATATATATTGTTGTCTGATTAAATCATAATCTACTTTAATTTTAAAAAAAAATCTAAGTAGATGTTTTTAGCTTTACACATTATGTAAAATTTCAAATTACGATTTTTATATAAATATAAATACTATGTTATACAAGATAAATTTTGATGATGACCAAAATACAAAATTTGCGAATGTAATACAAAATAAACCTATAAAATTATGTATAAAAACTACAAATCGAATTAAAATTGTCACTTTAAATCTTTGAACATTTTATCTATTTAGAAAATTCTGTTTATTTTTTCAAAATCTAAATTCTTCTAACCCAACAAAACACAAATAAATAGTAAACAACCAGTTAATGTCGCCAAAACCGCCATAATGTTTTGACTTTAGTGTTGTCTAGACGGAAACTAAAAACTGCGCTATCCATTTACCTATAATAGAGATAGCTTTATTTAAAAGTTAATAGTCAAAATAATTAAACAGATTAAATTTGAATAATTTAAATTGTAAAAGGAAAAATATATCATATAATATTTATATTCCACTATAGAAGTAGTTAGCTTTTATAGCTGGGCAACTAAAAACTACTATGCATCGTAATTAGAGTAGAGCGGAGCTAATCGGGACAGTCATTACGCTTCACAGCTATACTAATATCTTAGCTGAAAATTATTTTTTTCTAAATTTTTTATAAAACATCTTTAATTACTTTGTTTCATTAGGTAAAAAAAAGTAATAAGAATAATAAAAATCGCAAGTTTACAAAAAACAACATTTCAGAATCATCTATACAACAAAAAATCATAAATTTAAGCCTATTTGTTTTATTAATAAAAAGTTGAGATTTATTTATATTAATCTTTATTCTTTTTTAGAACCTGACATTGTTTGGTTTTTTTTTTGACATTTTAATTCTCTTTAAGTTATTTTTATCATCTGGTATTAAATTTTTTTAATAAAATTAACATTTTGTTCATAAATATTTTACTAGCTGTATAGAAAAAACAAAACATCGTAATTCCAGAAATGTCACCGAAACGTTAAAATTTAAATTGCAACATAATAAGAAATGTTAGATAATTGTTGTGTTGTTATTTGAGGTAATGTGAGAACAAACACAAACGAAATAAATAATAAAAAAAAGAGGCAATTCAGAATAATCGTTTAAAAGTTGAAAAACAGAGTTTATTAGCGATTCGAAGAAAAACTGGTCTGAGAAATTCACAGGTTGTGCGAGACTTTGCAAGACTGCTTTAGATGTGCAAGGCTTTGCAATTTTTTCAATTTGTTTTTGTTTTTTTTAATCTGAGTATTTTTTTTTTATATATTTTACTAATTGTAAGCATAAATATCAAGTATTCTTTTATTTAATTGTTTTCTAATTTCATATAGTCTTAGAGGCAATCAAAAAAAGAAAAAATAATAATATAAAATTATGAATTTCAGAAAAAGGTTTTATAAAGTAATAGTTTCATTTGCATTTAATAAAACTTTCATAAAAAATTTGTTACGCGTGGTTTGTTTTTAAACGCTAATACTTTTTTATATACTACGTAATTAAAAATAATTATATTCCCACAAATAGTAAATATACTCCCACTTTAACTCTGTTTTACATACTGTAGCCTAAAGTAATTATTTTGATTTTAATAATAATCACCAACAGTAAGCGTGCGCATAATTTATAAACTTTTTATTTTATACACTTTATAAAGTGGGCATGCCTCGTCCGGGGGACGTCCGTTGGACGTCTTACGGACGTCTGGACGTCCATGAGACGTCCAGCAGACATCCTCCGGACGACGCTTGCCCACTGGGTAATAACATAAGTAATAGAAGAGAAAAAATTAAATAGTAAGAAAGCGTCATTAAATATAAAAATATTATTTTATACATCTAACTTGAACTTTGAAGCCCGATTTAAAAATTACTAATTTAAAAATGTATATAAATAATATACCGCTAAATTATTTTTTATCAAAATTGTTTCTTTGCGTTCGAAAGTTCAGTTTTATTTATTCTTTTAAAGTTGCTCAACTAACCCCTACTTTACAAGATGTTTCATTAGTTAGGTATTGAAAAGAATAATAAAACTTTGGTAAAAAAGAGTAATTTTAATTGAAATTCCAAAAATTGTTAAATATAAACACTTGAGTTAAGTATCTAAGAGAAAATTAGTAAAAAAATTTATTACGTTTTTGGTCCAAAATAGAAAAAAGTGCCCGTATATCTTACTCAACTGTTTTCCAACAATCTTTTGTTGCATCTTATCTTAACATTCTAATTCCCTAACTTTCATCCATTAGATGTTTTATCATGTGATGCGTAGTTTTTTAAATATTTTGATTGCCCAACTTGCCCTTTTGCTTAACTAGCCCCGCTCAACCCTACACAGAATGGTTGTAATCTTTAGGTACACAAAATAGTTGTAATATTTAGATATACAGAATGGTTGTAATCAATACGGAGTTTTACAAAATGAACTCGTGTAAAGCAATTTAGTGTTGTATCAGTTGTGAGATGAAATTACAATATTAGATTCACAACAATTTTTTAAGAGAAAAGAATTTTAATACTTTTAAAAAAAAAAATTCTAAGATTATTTATACTGACGTGTAGAGAAGTAATGAAAACATAAAACTAACTAGCTAAAAATTTATCTATAAAATATTTATTAAAAACTTTATTAAAAACTTTACTGAAAAATATATCAATAGAAGTGATTTATTGTTGTTTTTAATGCGATTACAAAAGGTTGTTCATAAAAGAACTTGACTTTAGGCTTTCAATGAGTTATAGTTTGGCATCAAAAGTGTTTAAATATTGGATTTTTGTTATAACATCTAGAATTTTTATTTTAATAATTGAAATACAATCCTCAAAAAAATTTTATTCTGCTATAGTAGACAGTTCGTGATAGCTTGGTAATGTAGGTTATAACAGCTCGGAGCATTTGATATGTTGAATAATAAAAATGCATACAAATCAAGTTGGTTTATTAAATAAATTTCTTTCTACTTTTTAATTTAAATGGGCATTTAAATTAAAAAGTCATTTACAATCAAAAAATCCACCAAAAATTTCCCCAGAAAAAAAAAAGAAAATGCAACAAATATAATAAAATAAAATAATACCAACATGTTTTAAAAACCATATAAAATAAATCAAGAATTTGCGTAAATATATAAGACATATAATAACTAAGATTAATAAAATTTTTAAATAGTAGGATAGTATCTGCTTTGTATCGAAATCAAACAAGTGTTGTTTGTTGCACGTTTAAAATGTTGAGTTGAAGTTAAAATGTTTATATTACTTGTGAGATGCAAGCTCTATAAATTGTGACCCTCGGCAAAATATCGAAAAATCAGCTTATTTTGATTAAGTTATGGGCATAACAAAATTTTTCAAATTTTTGTAAACTTTAAACAAGATTACCATCATGAGTATAAAAATATGTTAAAATATATTAAAATATGTTAAAATATATTAAAAAATGTTAAAATATATTAGGATAAAATATTTTGATAAAATGATATATTAGGAAGTAGTGTTACATTGTTTTGTCGGTCATCGATAGAAAAATGGTTCTCCCAATACTTATACTATGAATTAGCAGAGAGATACTCGAAACAAAATTGAATGTTTTTACGCTATATTATATTGCCTACATTTATACTTCCAAAACCTCGTAGACCGGATATGAAAAGTAAAACCCCTCATCGCGCAACTGATCCGTCTGGACAGTTATTTATAAAATTGACTATCTGAAGTTATTTTTATTAAAAAAGTTATTTATTTAACTGACATTATGTGAAACTATTTGTTTAACCAAACCATGTGTTTTAAGAAAAAGTAAAAAAGATTTTATAAACTTCCTCTCTAAGACGTGTTTTTTTTTTTTTTTTTTTTTTATTTCTATTTTCTATTTTTATTTTTATCTAATTTGTAAATTTTATTTTGCAAATATAAGTTTCAAACATATAAAGTATTGTAAAGCATTAATTATAAATTTTGATTGCATTTGTTAAATATTTATATGTTTATTTCACTTTTCTTTTTTTTTTTTTCAAATACCCAGAATATTATTTTTGCGATTTTATTGATTAACCTTTACTTTTAACATAGTCATAAGAATATATTTCTTATGACTATGCCTTTAATTAATTTTGTTTAAAACTATTGAAATAACTTTTTTTTCCTTAACAAATATTTTATCACGCTAGGTATCTCAATTCTAAAATCCTTTTTATTAAATTTATGACGTATTAGTCATAATCCTCAATGACAATTTTATGTCGGCTATTTTAATAATAACATTATTTAATTATGTAATAAAATAAAAGCTATATCTAAATACAAACAAATTAATAGAAAGTTTAATTGATAATGTTGCCTTGTTGAAAGGTTTTGGAGGTTGAGTTAAGCTGTCACTTATGCTCCATTTTTTGGTGCAATAAAACACCCTGCTTTTATCATATTGCTTAGGTATGTTTGTTTGTTTGGCGAAGTTTTAGGCGAAATTTTAGGCGAAGTTTTAGGCGAAACGTGTTGAAGTTTTGCATTACGGTACAGTTTACACATGGTTTATTTTTCTGTTTCTGTTTCTGTTGTTGTTGTTGTTGTTATTGTTGTTGTTGTTATTGTTGTTGCTGTTGTTTTTTGTTGTTGTTGTTGATGTTGTTGTTGTTGTTGTTGTTGTTGTTGTTGTTGTTGTTGTTGTTGTTGTTGTTAATGATGTTCTTGTTTATTTGCTGCTTATTATCAAAGCTCAAATTGCTATCAGCATCATGATCAGCATCATAATTTTAAATCTTCTACTTCATTTTAATATTTATGCTTTTTCGAATCTTCACTTTTCTAAAATATGTTGCTACCCAACATACGGCTCGTCCTTCAAAAATAATTCTATTT